CATCTCCTGGCCTCTTCAGGCATCAAGCACACATGATCCACAAACATACATGAAAAAAAAAATTCATACATATAAAGTAAAAATAAATCTTAAAAGAAAAAACACAGTGGAGAACAGACTAGAAAAAAGAGCAATGAAGGAAGGAATCAGGTTCCAGTGGCCTCAGCAGTAATGAACTTCTTGTGTAGGGGTGTATTCAAGCAGAGGTTACCTGTCAAGGAGAATCCAGAGCTGAAGGGATGGCACTGGAAGGTAGACTTGCTCCAAGACTCCACATCACCCTAAGTCTACCCTAACACCCTGAGGAGTTTCCCACAACCTCACCCTTGGCAGCAAAATCTGCCCACCTGGCCTGGAACCCACGCACACGAGCCTGCATCTGGGGCAGGAGGTAGAGGCGCTGGCGGGTGATGCAAGTGCAGAGGCCACGATGCAGGGTGAGCAGGGTCTGTGAGCGCTGCTGAGCCCAGAGCTGCTCCACCTGCTGCCAGCCCTGCTCCTGCAATAGGACCTGTGGGCAGAAGCACACTGTAGGTGGGCTGGGCAGAGTGACCAAGGGCACCCCTGTTCTTCTCCCCTGATCTTAGCCTCCCCACTGCTGGACACATAATCTATTCTGGGGTGCCCAGAATAGCCTGCCAGCCCCACTCCATCTGCCCACCACTCAGAAGGACCAACCAAACCATAACTTGTCTGTGTTTGACCCAACAGGTGCCTTTCCTTTCCATTCATGTCTGCCCCCTGCGCATGCACCCACCTGGGTGGCTCCAAGATGATACAGAGGGGACTCTGCCCCCAGCACTTGGCTGAGGATGGCACCACACCACTCCCGGTCAGAGAGATCTTCCTGTCTCCCTGGCCCCAGGGCCCGGAACCTGTCCCAAGGGCACAGTGATGAAGTCAGAAGGGCAAGGGTCTCCTTTCACACTTGAATGACACATAAGCCCCTTGATATTTATTCAGTTTCTGGGATCAGTCAACAACTTGGGAAGGCCTGTGTCCTAGTTTCCTTTCTGTTGCTGTGATAAAATGCAAAAAGCAATTTAGGGAAGAAAGGGTTTCTTGGCTTACACTTTCAGATTACAATCCACTGTGGTGGGAAGTCAAGGTAGGAACAAGCATGCAGGTATATCACATCCACAGTCAGGAGCAGGGAGAAATGTGTGCATATTCCTGCGCTTGCACTCAGCCAGCTTCTTCCTCTCTTATGCAGTTCAAGACCTCCTGCCTAGGGAATGGTACCACCCACAATGGACTGGATCTTCCTATACCAAGTATCAATCAAGACACTCCCCCATAGACATGCCCACAGGCCAACCTGATCTAGATAATTCCTCATTAAGATTTGCTTCACACATGATTCTAGGTTGTGTCAAGTTGACAGTTAAAACTAACCAATGCACCCTGCCAGAGCCAGGTGCTTGGTGGGACACTGGACACCTGGCAGTGAACCAGGCAAGTGGGACCCTCTGCAGTGAAGAGGAAGGTTGTTTGAACAAAGAGCATGGATGGTGCCATGAGGCCAGGCTAGGCTGAGAGAGCCACACTGTGGCTTCTTTCTCTCCTGAGTGTCTGACACACACCAACACAGTGGGTCTCAAATCATGATTGTGGAAGGTGGGGCAGAACAGCAAGGGCAGCTCATCCACACACCCAACTGCACCCCACGTTCCCCTCACCAGGTCTCAGAACTTCCTGGAAGAGGTAACAATTGCTGAACTGGCAAGTGTCCTAGGGCCGGGACAGCACCTTTCCCGTCTGGCTCAAGGACAGGTATATAAGCACCTCTTGCCTGCCTCAGGCTCCACCTTGCAGCTCAGCTGTCACAGTGCCAAGACAATCACAAACAAGGAGAGTTGCTAGAGTCAAGGGGTGAGCCCTCAGGAGGGTCCCCTAGAGGCTGTCCATCTAGTGGCCAAGGGCAAACAGGCAAACAGCAACACGAACAGTCAACTGTCCTAGAAAGTTCTGAACGCCCAAAACAGCTGTCCCTGCCCTCCTTGTCCTTCCTGTGCTGCACGACCTGCCTACCCACCCCCATGGCTGCCCCTGCACCTGCCATCCCATGTCCATCTGAAAGACTGCTGGATGTCTTCTTTCCCTATCTCACTAACTCATCCACTGCTTTGTGAATACCTGCTGTGCCCACATGGCTACACTGCAAGGCAGGCTTGTCATCTCCAGCGTGGAATTACAGCAAGGAAAGGAGGTGAGTAGCAAGAGGGAGGGAGGGGAGAGGACTGGAAGCCGGGCCCAGGGTCCCTCTCCACTGTGACGGACTCCCCAGACCAACTGCCTAGGAGTGTCCCTGTGAGTTCTGCGCCCACACACTGGGCCCTGACCTACCCCACCCTAGGTCCCTACCTGGCCAGGAAGACCTGGAAGAGCACTCGCACAGGGAAGTGGGCACGACGGGTGCCTATGACCTCAAGGATACCGGCCTGGCGCAGCTGTTCTGCCATATGTCCCACATCAAAGAGACCTGGCAGCTGCAAACCAGGGAGAACTGGAGTCAGCTCAGGGCTGAGAGAAGGGTCTCAGAGGAAGGGAGAGGGGCTAAGAAGGGCAGGGAGTGGGGAGACTTCTGGGACCAGGGGGGAGGACTGGTGGCAGTGGGAGGGGAGCTCACCTTTCCAGGGTTGGGGTTGAGGCAGTGGATGAAGTAGACATGGCTTCTGCTGAGTGGAAGAGGGGGTCACAGACTAGCCCCCACCCAATCCCCTGAGGTCCCATGGAGGTAGAGTTCCCACCTGCCTAGCCTAGCTAGCAGGTCCCCCAGGGACTGCTGGAAGCGAGAAGACAATGTGGGTTTGCTTCGACCTGCCCTGGTCTGAGGCTCTGCTTCCTGAAACAGGCTGCGCACCAGCTGAGGGGGACACAATCCCAAGCTGTTTCCATCCTGGGCCTGTCCATCCACCATACAGCCCTGGGGAACCTGGCAGGCCAGCTCTTACATCCAGACCCAGGCATGCTCATCCCTCCATCCAGGGTGCCAGCCCCAAGACCTGGTGAGGGGACGGGGTGCATAGGCACCCAGAAGGGATGCCAGGTCACCTGCAGCTGGCTCTGGCTGAGCATCTCCACCACAGCACTGTCCAGGTGGTCCCGGTTTCTGTGTAAGAACTTGTGCACCTACAAGACAGGACAGGGGTGTGTGAGGCAGCAGAGCAGAGCACAGCCAGAGAGCAGATGTGGGCACCGCTCCATCTCAAAGGCTGGCAGCCCCTCACCAGTATTTTATACAGCCCTGGTGGGTGCCTGGCCTTTCTGGGTCATTATACTGATGGGTCCATTCCTTAGCAAAGTTGTCTTCTTCCAACTTGATGGCACAGAACACAGTTTCTTACCCTACAGGGAAAACTTCTCCATCATCTGCTGTTTCAGTAATTTCTTGGTTACTCTCATGCATTTTTTTCTCCAGATAAAACCAGAATAATTGTTATCAAAATCCATTTCGAGGGATGGGGTTGTAGCTCAGTTGGTAATAGTGGTTGCTTAGCATGCACAAGGCCCTAGGTTCAATCACCAGCACTGCATAAACTGAGTGTAGTGCTATAATCTCAGCACCTGGGAACTGGAGTTCCTAGGATCAGAAGTTCAAGTTCAAGGTCATCCTTGGCTACTAGAAAGTTCAAGACCAGAGGAGACTATATGAATGAGACCTTGTTTCAAAATGAAACTAAACAAAACAACACAACACCAAACTGCATTCCCTGCCTATGGGAATTCCAGAGAGGTTAGCACATCACTTTTCCAGGTTCACTGGCTATGGTACAGTGTCCCACAAAAATATGGTTCTCTCTTCATGTTTAAGCCTCCTCCTCTTCCTCATCCTTCTCTTCTTCTGATTTTATTTTTGTATATATGTGTGTGTGTGTGTGTGTGTGTGTCTGTCTGTGTGCCTGTGTGTATATGCCATGTGAGTGCAGGTGCCTACTGAGATCAGAAGAGGGTATCAAATCCCCTAAAGCTGGAGTTACAGGCAGTTGTGAGCCACCTGATGTGAGTGCTGGGAACTGAACTAGCAGTGCCCTTAACTGATGAACCATCTCTCCAGCACCTCCTTATGTGTTCTTTTTTGATGTTCAACACAGTTTCATAGTTTTTTATTATTTGTTTGTTTTGAGGCAGAGTCTCTTATAGCCCAGGCTAGTCTCAAATTTACCATGTAGCTAAAGATGACCTTGGACTACCAAGTGCTGCAATTACAGTTGGATACCATCACACCCAGCTGTTTGCTGGCTATAGAGCTCACAGTTTCAGTGCATGCTAGGTAAATGCTCTATCATCAGCCTCCTTACTCCAACTCCTTATAGTCTTTTGGGGATAACTACTGAGTAGTTTTTTTTTTTTTTAACTTCTACAACCAGAGTATGCCACTTCCTCCAGGGAGTCTTCCACAACTCTCCCCACCTCAGAACTGTCATATGGTCCTAAATACCAGAACCTCTTCCCTCAGTGAGGGTCCCCTTGGGCAGGTCTCCCTGGGAGATGTGGGCCCCAGAAAGGGGAAAGGAACATCCAATTAGAGAGCACCTACCAGGAGCACCTCTCAACCATCACCATGCATTTGCATTATCTTTCCTGGTAATACAACAGGACAGATTTTCCAGGCCCATTTTACAGATGAAGAAAGGGAGGCCCAGAGAGAAAACTGTAGGATTTCCAGATCCAGGTCCCAGCCTTATGCAGGCAGCATCAATCATTAATCTTGGGCTAGTGAGATGGCTCAGGGGGTAAATGTACTTGCCTCCAAGCTCGAGGACCTGAGTTCTATCCCCAGTACCCCACAGGGTAGGAGAGAATCAACTCTTGAAATTTGTTCTCTTGGGGTAGAAAGATGGCTCAGTAGTTAAGAGCACTGACTGCTCTTGCAGAAGACCCAGGTTCAGTTCCCAGAATCCACATGGTGGCTAACAACCATCTGTAACTCCAGTTCCAGGGGATCCAATGGACTCTTCTGGCCTTCATGCACAGTGCACACACATGGTGCATTTACATAGAGCAGGCAGAACATACACATAAAAATAAATCAAAAAATGAAATTTTTTGGTCTTTTTGAGACAGGGCTTCCCTGTAGCCCCAGCTGGTCTGGAACTTGCTATATAGACCAGGCTGACCTTGACCTCACAGAGATCCTCCTGCCTCTGTCTCCTGAATGCTGGATTAAAGTGTGCACATGGCCAAAAAAAAAGAAAGTTGCCCTTTGACCTCTACACATGCACTGTGGAATGTACATGCCCCCCAAATTAATTCAATAGATAAATAAATGTAAAAAAAATTCTGGTATGAATGGAGAAGGGGCTTACAAGACCCCGCCCCCCTAGCCAAGGAACTATTCAAAAAATAATAATCAATTTTCAGAATTGGGTGTGGCTCAGGTGGAGATAAGCCATGAAATCTTGGAATAGATCTTGACTCTCACCAGCTGACTCAGCTTGGGAAGTGATACTAAGGTCAGGTTGCCTCACGGATTCACCCTGTAGTCTGGCCCTGAGGTCAGATACCTGGTAGGTGACAGTTCCACCGTCATGGCGCACTGTGAAGATAGGCAAGGGCAGCTGAGGCTTGGTGTAGCTCGGGTGATCACCATGGTGATAGTGGCACTTCTGGAGGAAGGTGTGGTCTGTGGCCTGATAACAAACAAGTCACACTTTACTCAGTGTACATGCTTGCTGTTCCCAGTGGACCTCGATCCTTCCCCATGACCTACCCCGCCCCGTAACACAAACTTTGAACACAAGGAGATTTGTCCCCCTAAATTTTTTGTTATTTTTTTTTATGTATGTGTGTGCCTTCATGAGTTTATGGGTATGTAGGAGCCCCTGGAGGCCAAAGGAGGGCTCCTTGGACCTGGAGTTACAGGCAGTTGTTAGTGGCCATTTGGGTGCTGGGAACTAAACCTAAGTCCTCTGCAAGAGCAGCAAGTGCTCTTAACCACTGAGCTATCTCTTCAGCCTAAAAGGCTTTATTTATTTACCTATTTTTTTGAGAAGGTTTTATTTTTAATGATGTGTATGTCTGTATATGTGCATATGAGTGCAGGTGCCCTCAGAAGCCAGAGGTGTCAGATCCCTGGAGCTGGAGTTCCAGGCAGTTGTGGGTTCTGGGAATTGAACTCGGGTCTTCTGGAAGAGTAGCAAGTATTCTTAAGTGCTGAGCCATCTCTCTAAGCCTCTCACTCACCCATCCAAATAATTTCTTTCTTAGATAGGGAAAGTCAGTCTGTATTTGAGTCCCTATGAAGGGTGTACTCTTTTTCAATGACTGTACTTTTTTTTTGGGTCTCCCTGTAGCCCCAGCTGTCCTGGAACTCACTATGTAGACCAGGCTGGCCTTGAACTCACAGAGATCCGCCAGCCTCTGCCTCCTGAGCGCTGGGATTAAAGGTGTGCACCACCACAGGTTTTTGTTTTTTTAAAGAAATAAGTCCATGGAGCTTTTTGAGGCAGATGTCAAAACTATTCCTGGAGCCAGGCTTGATGGTACACACCTTTAATCCTAGCACTGTAGGTGGATCTATGAGATCAAGGCCAGCCTGGTCTCCATTAGTGAGTTTGAGTTTAGATGGGGCTACAGGGAGACCCTGTCTCAGAAAACCAAAAAACCAAACCAAACAAAAAACTATTCCTTGGGAGCACAGTCCCAAAACCACAGCTTCTCAGCAAGTCTTTAAAGATTACATTAAGGGGCTGGAGAGATGGCTCAGCGGTTAAGAACACTGGTTGTTCTTGCAGAAGACCTGGGTTTGAATTCCGGTACCCACATGGCAGCTAACAACTGTCTGTAACTCCAGTTCCAGGGGATCTGACAGCCTCTTCTGTCCTCTGCAGGCACTGCACAACACAGGTGCACTTACCTACATGTAGGCAATACACATAAAATAAAAATAATAAGGGCTGGAAAGATGGCTCAGTGGTTAAGAACACTGTTCTTACAGAAGACCCGGGTTTGAATCCCAGCACCCACAAGACAGCTAACAACTGTAACTTCAGTTCCAGGGGATCCGACAATCTCTTCTGTTCTCTGTGGGCACTGCACGACACAGGTGCAGTTACCTACATGCAAGCAATATATGCATACACATAAATAAATAAAATTTAAGAAAATAAAATATTTTTTAAAAAGAATCTATATCTATACCTACTTATATCTCTATCTATTTATCTATCTATCTATCTATCTATCTATCTATCTATCATCAATCTATCTATCTAATCTATCTCTCTCCAGACATTCAGTTCCCATCTCCTCTCCTTGGGCTTTGAACCCTTCTCTCTGAGACTGTTTGAGAGTGCCTGACTTGGCCTCTGGGGCTAAGAAATGGAAACAATCTAAATGTCCTTCAACTGAGGAGTGGCTAATGAGAGGTGGTATCTTTACACAATGAAGTTCTACTCAGCGGTAAAGAAAGATGAAATCATGAAATCTTCAGGTAAATGGATGGAACTGGAAACTGTTATTCTAAGTGAAGTGACAGACTCGGGAAACGAGCTGTATGTGTTCTCATTTGTTGCTCTTAGCTCCATCCTTAGATGTGAGTATATATCCTGATGTAACAGCAGGAGCCAGGAAAATGGGAAGGAGTCATTGGCGATAAAGGGAAAGAAAAGAGCCCAAGAGAGGGAAATGGTAGAAGACAGTTTTTGCCAAGGGGAAAATGGAGAAATTCGGGTATTTAATGGGGAAGGGAGAAAGGAAGGATATACGAGGATCCATAGGGCTAAGGGGAAAGGGAAAGAAGAAGCTCACAGGGAGGGGGGCATAATAGGAGATCGGTATTTCAAGGGGACAATGGGAAAAGTGGGGGTACTTTAACTGGGGAGGGAGGAGGGAGGGTTAGAACAGGAGAGATGAGAGATAAATAATACTTAGGTGGTGTGAAAAAAACAGAGGGAAATGTATTAGTTCAAAAGCCTACTGAGAAATGCACATGAATGTATGTGTATAACTGAAGGCTATATAACAAGAAACAGTGCCACACATGAGAAACCTCCCTTTGAGTTGTTGGTCAAGGTAGTTTAAGAGACTCCAAAAATGATATAAGCTATTGCCACAGCCCTTGATTCCCTCCCAGAACTTGAAGGTAAGACCCTATTGCTGAAGACAGGGCATACTTTAGACACAGGACTTGGAGCAATGGATCTGGAACTGACCTGGAAGCCTACTCCCTGAAGACTAGCTCTCATAGTTTTAGAGGATGCTATGCACGTTGCTAATGGATAATATCAATGGTCCAATCCCAGCTTTAAAGCCTAATAACCACAACAATGACTGGCACAGCAAACTATATTGGCGCAGAAGTGACACTTTTATCTTGGGTGAAATCAACAGCTATCTAATTGGACTTAAAGCCTGCTCATTGGGAGGGAACTCGTGTGGCACTGTAAACATAGCCAAATATACATGGTTGGAGAGGTCACAGAAAACCCTACATCTGTCACATTCTGAGACAAATGTAATTTCTTACTATATGCTAAATATGGATCCTTATATTTACAGACAAGCATCCCAGTCACCACTCATCAAAGAGGCTTCTTTTGCAACAGAACAAAGAGGCTATTACAGAGTTCCACAATTGGTCACACACAGGGAATAACTGTCTGTGAGATGCCCAACCTTAAGTGACACATCCACAATGGAACTTTTACACCTAAGGCTCACAGAACATAGCAGAACAAGGGGTAGAGAGAATGCCAATGCATCTCTCAACTCTCATCAGTGAGAGTTCCTCATGCAACACACAACTGGCCAAAGTATAGAGAATAAGAGACTGCAGAGTGCAGAGTCCCTGGGTAGGACTCCTGTATTAAACCTCACCCACCTAGGGCTCAGGCACCATTGAGGAAGAGGGGGCGGAAAGACTGTAAGAGCCAGGGGTGGTGCATGACCATAAGAAAATAGTCTTGCAGGCTCCTGGGAACTTGCTCATATAAACTTACAGCAATAGTGTCAGCATGTACAAGACCCATACAAACTCAATCAGATAAAAACCAACAGAACTGGGGAAATGGGCAGGAGGCCCCAACCTTAGCCAAGGAACTATTGATATTTAATTACTTCTGGGTGAGGGAGAGTTGATCTTCTTTAAGAGGGTGAATAGCCAGGCATGGTGGCGCATGCCTGTAGTTCCAGCACTTGGGAGGCAGAGGCAGGCGGATCTCTGTGAGTTCAAGGCCAGCCTGGTCTACATAGTGAGTTCCAGGACAGCTGGGGCTACAGGGAGACCCTGTCTCAAAAAGACC